TTGGCATAATTATTACATTAAAAATTAAAAAGATTGTGTTTGTAGCTATTTTTGTCCAGGTTTATTTATAACAATTACCGAAACCAAGACTTAATATTATTGTTCATGGTCTGGCTCACTTGGGACGAGAGGGTCCGACTTCTGTCCCAAAAACTGGTGCCATCTGGAACTGAAAACCACCATCTAGGACATTTCCATCATTATATTCTTGTTTAGATTAGACTCAATATTCGCTATCAAAGTGAGAATTCGGCGTAGGCCTGTATATTCTTCATCTTCCTCATTCATCAGAATGGGCATTTCATGTAAAAAGATCCCTTAGCAGTTCTGGCATAACGGAGAACACTTATTGGACATTTTCTTGCATGCACAAATTGCACATCTGGTACTGTTATAATCTTGAGTGCATTTGCAAAAAAACTGGGATTAACTGTTCCTGGTTACTATAATTTTGGTGTCTCTTTTCAAATTAATATCTTACTGACTAGAGGCGATCCCTTGGGGGGGGGGGGGGGTTCTGATTAGAAACTATCTTTGTATATGATATTGTATAGTTGAAATTTATTAATCCAGTGCAATTAGGTTAATGCACCCGGACAAAATTGATAACAGGCTGAAAATTGGTGGAAATGTTCAAAACAATGTCCTGAGTGGCCCACACAAAGTCCCAAGAAATCCCAGTTGGGGAACGGCCGCCATTTTGGAATTTAGATTTCATGCTGTATTTTTTGAGGTAATTGTCCTAAAGACCTTATTTATGTCTCAAATTAAACGTTTTGGGCTCATGTATGAGGGTAATATATAATTAAAGAGTTTATTATGTTCTAAGCATAAATATTATTTATATTAACCTCAAAATATCTATAATAATGATATAGATACGGTTATGTCCCCCCTTTTATACGAATTGTGGATATTTATAGGCATGCAAGGTGGATGTGATACTCCCAGGTGTGGATTAACGTCCGCACGGGTGAGTACTACGACTATCCGCAGTACTTTCCAGATAATTAGACCAATTCCTAATTACCAAGGCAAAAATGTGGTTCGGATTCCACTATAAACTGTAGGTCCCTTAGTATGGGCTATTAATTAACAGCTGTGTCTAAGGAATAAGTAGGTCTTAGTCACTAACAAGACTACAAGATCGCGCCACTCATTCTACACTCATCTCCATTCACACTTGGCTTAAAATACCTACTTTGTATGGTTGCCATTCCATAGAACAGTATTAACAGTATATATATTGAGTCTGATGAACAAGAATTGGATTATGGAGAGACCATGAACAATAGTATTAAGTCTTGGTTTCGGTAGTTCATATAAATAAACCTGGACAAATATAGCTACAAACATAATCTGTTTAATTTTTAATGTAATAATTATGCCAAAATTACTTGTTTCCATGACAAATATACATAATCTATTTAAATTTATGTAAACTATTTTTAACACAATATATACGATTGATATATTATATTATATAGGTTAGTGTTCAAAAACATGTTTTCTATCCTGATTGATGTGAAACAACAACAGGCTAATGGATTATATAAACTTATTTGACAAAAAACGCGTGAAAAATCGATTTATTTAAGAATTTTTTATATTATTTTGAGAATATCTTTTAAACCAATGCATATACGGAAGAAATGAATATAACCATTCTTGTAGAGAATTTTATCATCTTTCTTTTTGTAATTTACATTTTTTCCGTACGATGCACGGTTTTCAGTGTAGAAGTAAAAAACTAAAAAATGGGGTCTTTCCCCCCCTCCCCCCGCTGAAGCAGCAGGGCCAGGGGCGGGGACTTTTGGTATTTTTATCTCCTAACTACCCCGAACACATTCCCGCAGAAAAAAAATTTCCCCCTCTCCATGTCCTCTACAATCCCTTTATTGACTGGACTATTTATCTCCATCAAAGGCACTAGAAGTTAAATAATTTTCAACATTTCTTTTTTAATTGGTTTGCAGGGGTATTCAAGTTGTTTTGTTGAATTTTTACTTGGGATTTTAAGTGACAGAATACAAAAACACGTATTTTTAACCACATAGTCAAAATTCATGTACTCTAAGTAAAACTTAAGTACTGTGTTTGAGATATTTATTACTATTACAAAAAACTAGCTGTTACCCACGGGCTTAACTCTGTTTGACTTCATAAGTGTTAATAAAACTATTGATTGGTTAAGTTAAGCTGAAATAAACAAAACAGAATACAGAAACAAATAATCACTCCTGATTTGAATAAGGTAATAAATTGAAAGAATAACATACACATAAGTAAAGATGAGGTATTTTTAACATTAGGTATATGGAAAGTTCCCTTTGGGAAGCAATTACGACTTTATAGGGCAATTTATGAAGTAAAGGATAGTTTCGCGCAAGGTTTCTCGTCATGACGAACATTTTAAGTATATGGTTGATGGGGTGTGACTTGTAGTTTTCTCAAAAGTTCATGGGTACTTTGCGCTTTATATATGGATGTTGGCCTATTAATGGTTACTGTTTAGGTTTCAACGTTCTAGAGGAGCTTAGACAATCTTGGATGACTGTTTTTTTTTAAAGTGCAGTAAAAGGTTGTCTACTCGTGGTAAATTAGTAAGGTTTGTATTTTACTGGAATTAACAGTCATATAATAATAATAATAATAATAAGGTCGATAATGCTAATCATATACATGATTAATCCCACGTTATCAATTTTGTCCAATGAGCAATATTACTTTTCAAACCTTTTTTGGGCCTTACCCAAAATTAGTTAATGCTTGCTCCTTTTATGAACACCTTTAAATTGGCAAAGTAAGTTTATTTGATGAGATTTCGTACAAAGGAAGGTCTGTCGGAGGCTAAACATATTTATTAAAAGGTGAAGACGCCCCTTAGTATGTCTACAAAAACGTAGATTACGTACGTGGCACTGATTATATGCCTCTGAGGAAAAGTATGAAAATGGATATAAGTTTTAACCACGCTACTATGATTTTAGCCGTCTTACAATAACCTTAAAGTTGTAGTAGTGTTGACTGTTAGTGTGCATTATTATTGTGGTGAATAGTAGCAATAGGGTATAGTGTGGGGGGAAATAGCGTTCGTACCACGGGCCGTAATGGCAAAATCTTATTTTCGGCCCTAGGTACGAAGTATACTATTGTACGTAATATGTTGTTCATAGTTTACGCCAAATAAACAGAATATTATTTTCGTGACATTACACACAATTAAATGAAAAGTGTATTAAATTTTCATCTATGACAGTGGTATTATATTTTTCAAGAGTGGTTAAGTAAGTTCCCATACAAGAATACCGGTAATTATTTTGGCACAGAATATTAAAGTAAATTGACCCCCTTCTTGACAAAAATACGTTGATACAAAAATCCTATACACGGGTGGACATCAATAATAAGATCTTGTAATGCGTTAATGAAACATGGGAGATTATTTTATTGTAGGGGTTGCGGAAGAGAAGTTTATTTGAAGATTGTATGACAAGAGGATCATTTACTTACAGTAAAGCCCTAGAAAGAAAGCCACTGACTTTAAAGTGAATATCTCATGCTTAGTAACCAGTAGTAGCTATTTCTACCCAATTAAAACGTGTAAGCCCTTCAGAGGGTGATATTATGTACAGGCTAGGTTATAGTTTCTCCTATGGGGTTTTATGTTGTGATAGCTTACAGACATAACCAACGCTCTAATTGATAATAATCTGTGTTTTCAGTTTGACTTAATTGAGTGGTTCGTGTTTAAGACAGAAAATTGTATTTTACAGCACCAATAATAGACTTATTTGTATGTTTATGTGACTCAAACTAATTTTCTTTGAACTCTGACTACACTACACCTATAACATAGGTATGAAATCATTGATACACGTAGCCTTTATCTTTAGTCAAAGTCGAAAATGCAATAGAGTAATAACAAATATTTAGATTGTGTTTTCCTTTGGTTCCGTCTTCATCGCAAGGCATGTGGACATCATGAGAAGGGAAAGCATTTTACAGTTGACATTGGCAAAATTAATCAACGTAATTAGTAAGTAATTGCCAAGAATAATACATTATTATATCAATTACACCACCATATGAAGAGAGATAAGATTCTAAACCGAAAGTAATAACATTTACATAACGGATTTGACTATGAGATGGTGGATTGACTTAATTAAGTATACAAGGATGGCTCGCGGTATTTAGACCATTGGCAGGATATATGGCAACATCCGTGGCAATGATGAATCCTCTAGTGAACAACCGACAAGTCCCCGAGGTCTATTAGTGATGTGTAAGTTGAGGAGGTTAGTGATGTCAATGAAGTTCATAACAGGTCCGAGCTATCTAGTCCACACTTTCACCCCAGGGCTTTTCAACTAGACCTCAAATATTTGGTTGCGAAATCAGTGAGTGAATCGCAAGGTCGGAACGAGTGTTTGTGACTTTCCTTGCTCGACTTGGCTAATCCTGATTATTTGTGTACCTGGATGACATCAATGTGAGCTGCAAAATACTGAATTGAAAACAACGGAATTGGCTTTAGGGCTTAGATGGCGAAGTGGATTATCGAATGTGGCTAGAGGTGGTTTATTTTTAGTTTCGCACAGTGAACGAGGTTCTGGCTATCCCTTAGGACATGTACATCGTTACTTCATTTGTACATTGCACACTTTCGGTGTGGTGTATGAATAAACTCATCAAATAAATGAAATATTCGAGACATACAATTTATTGAACTAAGAACGTTTTCGCGAAGACAATATACACTATTGTATGTTCTTTGTTCAATTGGTGATTGTTCAAAAGGAATTCCTTTTTGAAAGGCGTATTTTATTCAATTTTTAAAATAAGGAAACGTGCCTTTTTCCGAAGAAAGTAGTATTGTTCAGTAGAACACTTTGCAGACTAATGGATAGTATCAATGGAAAGATCAAGACATGTTACTACTTTCTCTTATAGAAATATCTCAAATAATTAATAAAACAGTTTGTTTGTTTACTTACCGAACACGGCACTCTAAGACGCAAAACACACAGTTTGTACAAGTCCGGTACACACTCGCAAACGCACCACACACACAATCACAATGCACCGTTAGTTACATTCAGTTGCACACTGGCTATCACATCATGGCCCACACTTCTATGCACTAGAACTGAACAAGGAAACAGGGAGAGGAATCAAAATATTGAACAATCAACACTAATTAAACAAAAATAAAAAAATAAAACAGAAGAAGAATTGAATAGACTATATAAGAGCAAAGAAAAAGAGAGGAAAATTCATGACAGTTGTTAATCCATTAAAAAGATAGCAGTTGAATCAAATTGAAAAATACAAAATACACTTAATTGATTTACACTTTTCGATAACAATCAAATTAATTAGAAAATCAAAACAATTACAGAAAAACTACAAGAACTACGTATAAAAAGGGTGTCCCTAAGGACCCGCCTAAAAGGTGATAAGGGGTTGACCTTGGGATGATAAAAGCACGTGTCCGCCTGGACTGAGCGACGCGGAGCAACTACAGAGAGAGGAGTCCCCTCCCTAGCAGCTCTCTCCTCGGGTCATGGTCTAGGCCTCAGTCAGCTGATGGGGATGTCAATAAACCGAACAGCTGATCAGCAAACACCTGCTGAGGTGAGGATGTGTCGAGTGTCAGGTGGTGGATGTAAGGGGTTGTTCTAAAATTGCATAGGGAATGGTCAACGGCTTTTAATTGTGTAATATCGTGTGAATGTTGGAGGGACAAAATCTTTCTTAAATTTATTTAGGTTTTTGTGAAATTGGTTGCCACTGAAAGTCAGCACTTAAAGAGTGCGTAGACAATTAAGGCTTGCTAAGCCCAGGTGAGAAACTAAATTGCAGATTTTCAAATCAAATAAATCTTAATAGAGCAATTTATTAGATTACAGTGTTTGGCATGCACAGATATTGTGAATTTTCTGTAAATTTATTTAATGTGGATAGATCACCTCTTAGTGTGATACTTTTATTTTGTTTGAATGAGTTTTTCTGAGAATTGATTTCTTCCACAAGACATCAAAAGATAGCAAAAATGTAGATTCTCAAATCTAGATACTGAAACAAAAATATGCTGCCATCAATATGACTAAGGTACTTAACCTTTTTCCCTAGGACGCAAGGCACGAGCCCGGGATTGTTTTTCACATTCCTTAAGGCTTGACCCAAAGGTTGCGGTAATACCACTTAGATACCATCCATTGGTGGTTTGGCGGGATTTTAACCCGAGACCGAAGTCCCGCGCTCTAACCATTAGACCAGCTCGCTCTCCAAAAATGTCTAAGGTACTAGGATGCGTACTTATTCCAAGATAATTCACTCAAGAAAAGACTCAAGTTTTAAAAACGTGTGTTACCTAAATGGTATTGTATAGTAACATTGTAATAATTTGGACAAACACGGAACTAATTAAAAGAAACCCTAAATATTTTCATTTGGACTGTTACGTTTAAGTTAAAAATCTTTATATGCCTATTACAGTATATACAACCGACAAGTAAATGATTTGTAAACTCCGTCAGTTAAAAACCTCATGTCTGATAGGGGAAGTTGATAGATTCCAAAAATCGTGTACAGTAGAAAGTTCCCTCGTCACCGACTATTATTTAGTATTCAAATTGTTGCCAGCGACGTGATTGCCATTCAGCTCACTCGGGGTACAATAACTTACCACAATAAACGTTGCTTGATTGTAAATCAACGTCGTGATTCTAGATGTTCAGACATTTCCTTGAACTAAAGAGAAGTGTGTTTGCAATAACAAACTTTTAAGGCCTAAGACCACAATATATGTCAGAGATGTTATACATTGGGAGGGAAATAGTAGTATAGTAAATAATATAAGGGAAGTAAATTTTTATTTTTGTACTTTCTATCTTAATTATAATTAGTGAGCTAAATAGTCTTTCTTGGCAAAATTATCATCTACAGTGGCAATACATCCATTGTAACTAGACATTATGTTTTATAAAACTTTCTGTCACTTTACTTATACTTGCTATTAATTATTCGCATTACATTACAACAAATAGATACCCAAATACACTTTTTTGTAAGAAGTAATGTTTATTTTGTGAATGCAATACCTTTAGACATAATATTTGAGGTTGGATAATGCAAGTAGGCCTCTCATCCTGTTGCAAATAACATGCAGAAGCACTGTAAACTTGTTTGTACTGTTATAATCTAATAAGGATTATATACAAGTTTGATCTGTGACGATGGTAAATTCACGAGTGAATGGTTTTAATCTATGGACATTATTTTGGAACAGTGAACTTTTTCTCTTCAAACAAATCACAACGCTGATAGTAGTTTTACCTAATTTACATTGCGCATTTATGAAATCCCATTAATTGGTTTCAACCACTACTCACGTGCATGTTTTAAGCATAATTATGCGTATCGTACTTCCGATTTCCTTTAATTCATGCCTCGTATGCATAGAAAGCGTCCACGAGATTGCAGTAATGAGCATGTTACTTCCGTAGCAAGAGATGATAGGCTAACAGGAAATTGGCTTGATCAGGAATTTCAAATACTATGTTTCTCCCTAAAATTTACAAGGAAATAACTGAAGGCAGGGAAATTCTTGACCACCAATGATTTTTAAAAATTAAAATCTCCCTGTTAGTTCATTCAGTAAAGTCAAGGTTCGTGGTATCTTTTGTCGTCAAACGTTTTAGTTGAGTGGATTCTAAATTCATAACATTAGTCAGTAATTTAAAGAAAGAAATTACTTATTATTCACCTAATATTTTCGTCTATACATATTTTCTAAAATACATTAAAGTAAAATTTTTTTTAAATTATAAACATTTTATGGTATATGGGCTTGCGAGTCACTATGTCTATAAAAGGTAAATTTGACAATGCAATTTTTCTAAATATATGCTGGAAAACGAAATAGAACGATAGATTGAATCTGTAAAACTCTATTACAAACTGTACATAAGTGATATTTTATTATTTATAATTTTATTTATTGGTTATTGGTTAATTTATTATTTATTGGTTACTATTTTATCGGTTCCTTGATATTTTATCTCAAAACTAGACTTTAGAGCTACATATGCAAATGTTAAGCACTCATAGGTGCTTTACTTAAATTTTGACAAACAGTGTTTTATACAGACGGTGTTTAGTTTTCGCAGCGATTAGTTAAACATAATTGTCAGTAGTATATTATGTTTATTAGCTAAGCAATTTATGATATACACCTACACATTTTAGAACGCTAGATAATTCCTAATAATGTCAAAGAAAATATAGCTGCATAAAGAGTGCATTATGTCTTTTGATCTATTTAAAGTACGCAGTCTCCTTTGAATGACAGGCGTCCTTCCCACTAGTCTTAGGCCGAACGGTCGAGGACAAAATGTTAATTGGGCAACCACAAGGCCGCTATTAATGGACATTGCAACAATAAATGATTGATTGAGATTACCTGGTACATTATGTAAAGTGACGTACGAATACATCACTGCATTTGCAAGTGCAATCAAATATCGACATCTATTCGATGAACTATCAAAGTCTTCAAGGTTTGAGGTCAGTTTGAAGCGTACAGTTCTTTCAAGAATAGGACTTGAATCTAGAACACTCAATACTATATAGTAAAATCAGTTCCCAAATGAAATTTCAATAAAAAACTACCTAATTTTGTTAACCATCAAATTAATCATGATATCTCGCGTGTCAATTTAAAGAGTACAATGCTTGCAGGAGTACGATTTCATGTATGAACTGTACACCCTATTCTACGTGCAGTTCTTGCAAGAAAAGGACTTGAATCTAGTAGAATCAGTTCATAAATTAAATTTTAATAAAAACCTACATCATTGATGAACATGAAATTCCACATAAAATGAATAAAGATAGCATGTGTGCCGATGTTAAAAAGTACTAATCAGTTCAAAAACTAAATTTGAATCGTAAACTATATCATTGATCAACATAAAATTCTACAAGAAATTAATCAAGATAGCATGTGTGTTAATTTAAAGAGTCTAAATGATGCTTGATAGTAAACAACTATTAAATTCTAGTAGAACTAGTTCACAATTGCAATCGTAAATCAATATAATTTCGATGAACTATTCAAGACTGTACGAGGTCAATTTAAAGCGTACATTGCTTGCAAGACTAATACAACTTGAATCTAGAACAATCGGTACAATCCGTTCACTCGGCTAGAATACTGTACCTAATGTGATATCTTGCACCGGATTAATCATTATAATTTTGCAAGCGAATTCGGAATGACCAGTGACTAACAGTGAGAGCGGATATAGGGCCAAGGTGACCAAGACTTGCTACACATTCCCTGAGTCTGGACACCCACAGTTACAGTTATAACGGAGGTCGTGGCTGACGTGTTCGATGATTAGACAGAACCACGAATATTATAACAGACACGGTATGGATCATAAACATAAACAAATTATGTCACTGGCCCAAAAATAACCATTTAAATGGAACTGTCAAACCATTTGTTGGTGTATTTTTGTTCTATTGCTGGTTACATTGTTATTATTTGTTGTTAATAAGTATAACTGTTTTGTTAGGCAGTAGTTTACGCAACGATCGCGTAAAGACTATTAACAAGAGTTGTGTACACAACTTTACGTACGGCCGTTTTTTAATTAATAAAAATCACTACTAACTTCTAAGAGAGGTTTTCATTTATAACATCTCAGTGATGCAATGAATCATTGTACCAAACATTAATTGCACCACTCAACAATTAAATTGGCGTGAACAGCTGATTAGTTAAAGTTCAAATCATAAAATTTTACTTCTTCACTCTGAATCCTTGAACCTCATTGGTCCGTTACCCACGTTGTTATGAATAAAACTATGCTGTTATGGAAGTAAACAACGCTGTTATGAGAAACTTTTCGATTCTAAGCCGGCTGAACCGGCTACTAAAAAACGTTCGTAGGTAAAGACTATTAACGCGAGTTGTGTATACTAATTTACATACAGCGTTTTTAATTACTAACAATCACTACTTATAACTTCTAAGACAGGTTTTCGTTTATAACCTCTCATTGCCACTGACAGTGATGCAATGAATAATTGTACCAAACACTAATGCACCACTCTTTAAAAATTAAATTGGCCTTAACAGCTGATTAGTTGACGTTCGATGCATTGCAATTTCACTTCTTTTCTCTCAATCCTTGAACCTCATTGGTCCGTTGCTCGTGTTGTAGCGGTAAAACAATGCTGTGAAGTGAATCTTTTTTGATTTTAAGAACTGAACTTAAACGACTAATTTAAAAAACAATTTTCAAAGACTAAGAATTTTCAAAGCTGTATTATTCAGATTTATGAGCATTACTATAATTTATCCACCAACCTAAACTAAACAATCCAACGCAGTAGGCTGAATTCCACTAATCTTAGGAGAGAGTGTATTGTTGAGCATAAATATTAATGTTTTATTATTAAGTGTGAATATAGACATTTTCCCTTCATTGCCCAAATACG